AGGGGGCACGGCCCAGCCCGGGCGGGCGCAGCAGCGCGCGGGAGCCTTCCGGGAGCGCCGGGCCTGGCAGGCTGGGGGCTCCGGTCGTGACCGCCCCCAGGCTGCCGGCACCCGGCCTTCGGGCGTGTCGCGTGGCCAGAACCGTGCCTTCTTCGACCGCTACTGTCCCCGGTACCGCGCTTTTGGCTGCCTTTGTGCCTTCGTCTGTTCCCCGGGGATTGCACTTGCACCCACGCTGGCTGTATCTGGCGGCTGCTGCGTGGGCCATCGATAAATATATTTTCAAGAGTATCTTTATTGACCTATTTATACTTCTTGTCTCATGACTTCATGGCCACTCTTGATTGAGGCTCAGGTATCTGTCAGGGCCTGTTACAAGCCTGAGTTAGTCTGTGTCTCCAGCCCGTTGACCTTGAAATTGGGTGTGACCGATACACCCGGGATTTTCATTCCAGACACTCCTGCAACCTTGCTACGTCCATTCGCCCCCAAGCCCCAAGTTTTACGTCCTGAGTAAGCAGCTTTGTCCTCAGGTCCTGATGACGACCTAATGGCACATCAGTTTCTGATGATGGGTAGAATTCACTGGGTAGAATTCACTGTTGGATTCGTTTTTTGTTTTTTAATAGAATGAGAAGTAATTCTGGGAAACCTTGTTAGTGTGTCATTTAAAAAAAAATAAAGAATTTAACTTTCTTTCTTTCTCTCTTTCTTACCTACCAGAGAGGTACAGAGAGAGAGAGAGGGAGGAGAGTGAGAGCACACTGCAGTTGGCCCTGTGGGAGTCCAGGGCCCTTAACCACCACGCCACCTGCTCTCTGCTGGAGTGTAAATTTTGAATGTGGTAGGGTTCCACAGTGTCAATACTGTAAGGCATTTGTATTTGATTCTTGTTTAACTTTATGGAGTATCTCTTTTTTTGGTCTCTTATTTAAGATTTTTATTGCTAGTTTAAAACTGACCCATTTGTTGGGTCTAGTTCAAGTGGACATAAAATACAAATGAATGTTATGATAGACTCATGTGCTCTTTGCTGACCCTGGATTTGGCAGAGCTGAAAACAGCAAGTAAGGAAGCACTTCTAGTTTACATCTGGGGTGGGCAGAACGGCTTCCTACAAGGAAGGCTGGTGAGAAGAGGGGCTGTTCTGTCATCACCAGGGTGGTGACCTGAGGATACACCATCAACAGCCCTCAGTGCATCCATGCAGTGAGCTTCAGGAAAACGACCAGGTACTCAGCGATGAAGTTTGCCATGAAGGCGATGAGGACTCCACATGTGTGCATTGAGAGCAAGCTTAACGGTTGTCTGAGCCCATCTCACAGTGTATCTCTGGTTGATTTAGAAAATGTAATGAGTATTGGGACCAGAAATTGGCATAATGACTGCATCGCTGGACTCCATGTAGTCGACAGCAGTTAAGTCCCGGACCTGGTGGTTTAAACTCACGTCGGGTGCATGTGCCCAAGATCCCAAGAGGAAAATGGAGAAGGGATTGCGGCATGGCCATCCTCCTGGGGGGGTGATTTCTCGCTTTCTGTCTCTCTGTCTCTCTCTGTCTTTCTGGCAAGTGCATGCGCCCTATAGCAAAAACCTCTCAAAAAAAAAAGAAAGAAAGAAAAGAAAATGTAATGAGTATAAAGATTCACCAGACAAACTCCACACTTTGGTTACCTATGTTCCTGTTACCAATTTAAAAAATCTATAGTCAGTCAATGTGGATGAGAACTTACTGCCAAAAAAAGAAAAACCCCTCGACACCAGTAGATGGCAAAATGGTTATGTCTCTGGACTCCTATGTAGTTGACTGAGATTTGAGTCCTGGACCTGGTGACCTAAAACTCACACCAGTCACATGTGTGTGTGTGTGCTGAAGATCCCCAGAGGAGAATGGAGAAGGGATTGTGGCATGGTCATCCTCCCTTCCCCCGGGTGGGGGTGATTTCTTACTTTCTGTCTCTCTGGTGAAGGCACATGCCCTATAACAAAAATCTCGAAAACAAAACAAACCCCTACTTTTTTCTGGAGAGGTTTTTGCTATAGGGCACGTGCACTCGCCAGAAAAACAGGTATAATGGCTATGTTACTGGACTCCCACGTAGTCGACCGCGGTTCAAGTCTCAGACCTGGTGGCTTAAACTCACGCCAGGCGCGTGTGCGTGTGTGCCCCAGATCCCGAGAAGAGAATGAAGGAGAACAGATTGTGCCGTGGCCATCCCCCCTGGGGGAGTGATTTCTCACTTTCTGTCTCTTCATCTCTCTCTTCCTGGCAAGCACATGTGCCCTATAGCAAAAACCTCTCCAAAAAAAAAAAAGGGAGTAGAATTCATGTCACTACAGGTAGAGAATAACTGCCCTTTAAAAAAATATATTTATTTATTTATTTATTTACTTTTGCCTTACTTTACCTTACCTTACCTTACCTTGACCAGAGAGGGACAGAGCCAGAGAGAAGGTGAGATAGCAAGTTGCCAGGTCTAGGACTCAAACCACAGTCGGCCATGTGAGAGTCTAGTTCCATTAACCACCACACCACCTACTGGCCTGGAGAATAACTGCTTTCTGATTGTTCATTCTGAATAGTTTATGATAGTGATATTTTTTGGAATAGCTTGGTTTGCTTGAAAAACTTTACATACCAACTGATCTAGCACTAGTGAGGGCTAGATCCTTATTTTAATATTCTTTTTATTTTCAGGTACCTTATCATGAGAAGAACATCTTCCTTAACCTTTTGGTGCTTTTATATTCATCTTGAAAACAAAATTAAGAACTCAGGACTTGGCAAGTAAGTAATAGCAGGTTCATCTTTTCAAATATTGTTTAAGCAGCTTAACATAGCTAGGTAGAACAGTAAGCCATTAGTTTCAAGAGAAGGTGAACATCAAAACCGACTATAAATTACTGGTATTTCAGTTAAGTGTTTGATTTTTAGCATAATGTATTAAGAAGAAAGCTTGATTATTTCCCTGAACAACCAATAATTTTTATTGGATAAGGAAGAAAGACACTGATTTAATAAGATCAAAGGAGAAGAAATTATTTTTTCAAAATGAATGTTATTAGGTGATTCTAGGCAACTTTTAAGATAAATTTTATTGTGCATATTTAGGGTATATAGACTGGGTCTTCAAAAGTTTATGCAAAACACATATGAAAAAGCCATATGTGGGGGCCAGCAGGTAGCATGGACTTTATGGTGCTGGATCCCACATAGCCAATTCTGAGGTTCAAGTCCTGGACCCAGCGGCTTGAGAATCAATGAAAGGAAGGAAGGAAGGAAGGAAAAAGCTGTATGTGTATGTAAAGGAGGCAGCCCGCAGTTTGAGTGGGCTTGCCTGTGTTGTTTACCAATTCCAAAGACACATTCAGAAGTCCAGCAGAAGACACGAGTTTACTTACTAGGACAGGATGGATGCTTTGCTGACAGCTGAGTGGAGGGTCCGTGCTTATATGAGCACAGAATCATGCTATATATATATTAAGCTCAGAGAGTACATACATCACTTATGAGATCAGCACAGACTGCCTGCCTCAAGGCAGGGATCTGGTTCTTACATATACTGTTTGAGAATGATGATAAAAGGTCAGTCAGATTATCAAACAGAGCCACCAGAGCTTGTAGATTAATTTAGTGTCTCTGATCTTGGGATGCTGGCATGGGAAAGGGGTGCATGCCTCTGCAATAGCTCCAGCCACGAGTCAATAACATGAGGTAAGGGAAGGGTCACAGATGTTCGCCAGGCCTGGCGAGACCAGCAACTGGATCTCAGAGATTTAGGGGGAAGGGCAGGCTGCAGAGAGCTCAGTATCTGGAGCCTACCCTTAGTGGATTTCAACACAAGCTCTGGTTTTCTAGCCGTACTGCATAATGTTAAGGAGTAGATGGTAGAAATGACAAATAGTGATTGAATGTTTAAAAAATAATTGGAATAATAATAATAATGATCTGGAAAAAAATGAAAAGCTATTAGATGATGATGATGGGGATTTTAATGTCTTTGTATTGACTGATATGAATGGTATTCCTTCTGGAAAAAGAAATATAATACACTGTAAAGTTATATGTGATTCAGTGTCATATAAGCAAGATTATGATATAATAAAATTATTTTAAGTAAAAAAAAATAGATGGTGGGGTCGGGGGGATATAATAAAATTATTTTAAGTAAAAAAAAAAAGATGGTGGGGGCGGGGGAGACAGGCAGATGGTGTAATGGTTCTATCACTGCACTCCCACATGGTTGACTGAGACGATGGTGTAATGGTTATATCACTGCACTCCCACATGGTTGACTGAGATCCAAGTCCCAGACCTGGCAGCTTAAAACTCACGCCGGGAGCATGTGCGATCATACCCAAAATTCTGAGAGGAGACTGGAGGAGAAGGGATTGTGGTGAGGCCATTCACCTTGGGGGGTGATTTTCCACTTTCTGTTTCCCTGTCTCTCTAGTGAGCACATGTGCCCTATAGCAAAAAAATCTCTAAAATTTTAAGAAAGATTTGGGGGGAACAAAGTTTACATATAATGAAGGTGTACATTTTTATTATTATTGCTGAAGGAATTTGTTTTTAAAAGAATGTAGACAGTTTCCTTCTTAAGGAAAAAAATGCCCTAAAGGCTTCTTTGGTACTTATTTGGTTTATACAGAATTCTTTTATCATGATTATTTCTAGAAAGAACTAGCAGTTATCTTATTTCTCTCTCAACATTGTTGTTAGTTATCTTGCCATTAGAAATGGATTACAGAGGGACCAGCAGATAGTGTAATGGTTATGTTACTGGACTCCCACGAAGTCTACTGCAGTTTGAGTCCAGGACCTGGCAGTTTAAATCTCATGCCAGATGCATGTGTGTGTCTGCCCAAAATCCCAAAAGAAGAATGGAGGAGAAGGGATTTAGGTGTGGCCATCTCTGGGGGTGGTGGTGGGGGGGAGGTGGTGGTGGTGATTTCTCACTCTCTGTCTCTCTGTCTCCCTCTGGCATGTGCACACGCTCTATAGCAAAAATCTGTTTTGTTTAAAAAAACAAAAAAACTCAGCCTAGGCACAAGTGTGTGTGCATCCAAAACCTGGAGGGGGAATAGAGGAAAAGGAATTAAGGCACGGCCATTTCCGGAGGTGGGGGTGGGGGGCGTGATTCCTCATGTTTTCTGTCCCTATCTCTACATGGCAAGTGCATGTGGCTGATAGCAAAAATCTAAAAAAAAAAAAAAAAAAGAAAAAAAAGAAAAAATTAGGATACATATGGTTTTGAGTATTATATAATAGGGCAACAAATCTGGAGTACAGTACTGTTTTAAATATGTTTTATATAGAATCAGTCTTGTGACTGCAAAAAACTTAAGAACACCTCTGTTTGCCTTTATAGGAAATTGACATATATATCTCATTTTATATAAGACAAGCTTTTACATAAATCCGGCTTTTTTGTGTCATGCTTACATTTTTTTTTACTAATGTTTTTGTTTTTTTTTTGATGACAATATTGCATTTGGTGTTCTTTAGACATTTTCTTTTATACAGAATATAATCAGAATGTTCTTTTGAATATGTATGTTTTTACAAAGTAAGCTCATGTAACAGTACTTGTCCTAATCTTTCTGTTTTTCATTTACTTGTATTTCCAGGTATCTGTTCTCTTAGAGTGGGTAGTCCTGCTTCTTTTATCTAGCCACTTTCCCTTTTCCTGAAATGTGGATCTCTCTTCTACACATTACCTCCGTGATTTAAAATAGAAAGGCTGCTTTTCTTTTTGTGTCACCTCTCAAATTCAACACAGAGAAGCTCCTAGGATATAATTACCCTGCTGACTTCTCCAGGAAGAAAGAAGCAACTGAGATGGCTCTTCTGTTCCTGTTTGATTATGAAGAAATTATTTTGCAAGCTGAAGGCTGATGTTTTGTTGAAAAGGTTGCTTAGGTAGTAGTATTTATGAATTCTTTACCTTTTTTCCGCAAACAAGAAGACTAAATAAATAATAAATATGGATGACTTCAGTGCTTTTTAAAATTGTCTTCCAGTTTTAGGCACTATCATGATAAGCACAGTTTAGACTGCAACAATAAATTCCAAATACACAGTCTAATTTGAAATGAAAGAGATGCTAAAAAGTTACATGTATTTACAACTCAAAGCCCTGGCTCATCTTGTGACAGCTTTACTGGCTAAGAACACAGTTCCAGTTTTACAGGTAAACTTCTGAGATGATAAAGAATCATAAAGACAAGACATCAAGGAGGTTAATTTCAAATGCAAATAAAACATCACAGTCTCTGTACAAATACACATTTTTACATGTGTAAATTATATACACTTTTGGATGAGAAGAGATTTTTCTGAAGAAGAAAGCTGTTGACTTCTTCCTCAGAAGTCTTTGGATATGAAAAACGTCAAATGTTTTCATTCTGCTATGGAAGGACCAGACTGTGTAGGAGCTAACTTGCAAGTATGTGTAGGTTTAATGGAAGTGTGGGAAATGCAAACAAACCTGAGTCCAGTGATGAAATCTTGTTTACCTCCCTAGGATGAGAGCCTGCTGCATCTTTTTTTTTTTTTTTTGGCAGTCTTATATAACTCTTGAGTCTTTATTTCCCAAGTTGCTAAGACTCGGAAGACGTGGCATAGTGGGTTTTTTTGGATCCGAAGATGTGATGGACCCAACAGAATGACCTGCCTGGAGCTTTGGATGCAGAGGAGGTTGTGGGTGTGTGGATGAGAAAGGTTTCATATAACTCCTTTCTCCTAAGAAAAAGAAGCAATGTGTTTTACATTATATAACTAATTTTTTATAAAGGCATAAATAATTCTTCCTTCAGCCCAAGATAGGTACATGAATGTGATAGATTATTCTAGGTGGTACGTTAGGATGATAAGACTAGGACTTAGGTAACATGCCTCAGTTGGAACTGAACTTTCTCATGGAATGGTCCTCGGAAGCAGGGTTCCCAAACTTGTGGTTATATTATCACAGATACTGAAGAAATTCAGGATCTGAAAAACCTCAAAACAAGAAAGACAGTTCTAATAAAAATGATGGATTTTCCTTTTTTCTCAAAAGAGTTATACCATATGATGAACAAAATATAGTAGAAAGCTATCCTTGCTTCCAAACCAACGGAGGACATTGTATGTATTGTTATATCTTTCCATAAGAATGAAACCTTTATTTGTGACTCTAAGTTGAGAAAGAACTTAAAACTTCTTAGGTGAACTTAAGAACAGATAGTATTAGATCATCTCTGTGTTTTCTGGAATGTTTGTTCAGGGCTATGCAAGCTGTGATACTAGAAACTTATGGCAGACTTACCAAAATTTCAGAATGACAGAAATGGCCAAAAATGGGAAATTTTGAGCAAGCTAAGATTAGTGAGATTGCTCAACCAATTCAAAATGGGCTAAAAAAGCTTTTATTTCGTAAAATAATCACATAGATAAAATATAATTTCCTTTAACTGGGGGCAATTACTGAATGATAAAGCAAGAAATAACTTTGGATAAAAGAAGGTTAAATTTTTCTCTAACCTTCCAGCCACTTCCTGATGTGTTTCCTTTAGTATTTTGGAATTATTAAAAGACGTAGGTCCCATTGTATGTACAAAATATCATATGGAGAATCTGTACCTTCCTGTTGTCAGTTATCCATATTCTTTATGTCCTTTTGGTAAGTTTTTGGGTAGGATCATTTGTTGGGATAGGTTACCTGTACTAGTAAAACTAGCTCTGACTTGCTTGTTTGAACGGGTATCAGACTCAGCTTTTCCAGAAGCTTTATATTTTATTTCACAATTCAGAGAACCAGTGTTCAACATTCTTTTTCAAATTGTTTCTGCATTTTCATGGTGGACACTGGTAGCATTTAACAAGTGGGTATATTCCAGGTGTAGTTTTCTAGTATTTACATGTCTGCACTTTTTTCTTTGCTGTCTTGGTCCCCTTCTTGACAAAAGCTATCATTTTAGGCAGGAGATTATGCCTCAGTCTTCAGCTATGCCTCCTTATCCTTTGTTCGCTGGCAGTTTTTAATTTTGAAAACAAAAATACGGGATATGTGCAATAGAAATATATATATATATAATGTATATTTTAATACTTGTGGACAAATGTTACAAGTTGTTTAAGAACAACAAAATCACCAATGTCTTCCATTTTGAGATGTGTATAGTTTTGTAAGCATTAGTGCTTGGTAGCATATTGTAGTGCCGTGTTAGGGGGTAGTGCATGAGCCTAGTAATAATTTTAAACTTCAGTATGAATTATGGATAATAACAAATAGTATAAAAAGAGTGGAAAATCTAGACCTCTTCTTTTTTCATATCTGAATCTGTGATATTCTCCCTGGGGAAAGGAGATGAAGGCCAAAAGACTCACTTAGGAATAGTAGGGTCACGGTGTGAGACGCTGTCTTTGAGTATATGGATGTTTCCCATGTGGTAGCTGAGACCAGCTGCCTTTTTGTTCAGGAAACCTTAAAATGAGGCTCCATTTCATGCTTCTGCTTAGCTGTTAGTGTGCAGTGATCTTCTTAACACTGTCTTCACATCATGTATCTGTTAGTTTCGTTATCTTCCCAGTGCTTTTAAGAAATATTTTACATTTTGCATATCTTCCTGAGATGCTAGGTTAATTGCATCGATGAGTGTCTGTCCTGCAGACCATGTGTCACTGGACGAACAGTAGCTCAGAGCCTTAGATTATTTGTTAGGAATCTTCCTATTTTTGCATCTGCTCAGCTGTGTATTGATGGGGTTCCAGACTTCATAAGAATTGGAAATGTAGCTAGACGGAAGCTACCTAGGTTGCCAGTATTAGTGGACTCTCCTCCGTAGTGTTCACTCTTTTCTACTTTTGCAAATAAAACAGCTGTTTCCTCTGAATATGCATAGCTTTCAGTAGAAAGGGAATTCCTACTTCTAAAAGCTGTCTTGCAATCTTGGAAGTGGCCATTTTCTGAGGTAATTATTAAATCATCATTAAAGCAAGTCTAGGATTTGTTGACACAGATTCTGTAGCTAGATAATCAGAAATGGAAAACTGTATACCACTATTTTAATGTGGTATATCTTATACACAAGTAAGCTAGAACAAGTAGGCTGGCAGATCTCCAGGGACCCATGTTTAGATTCTCATACTATACAAAATATTTGTACTTTGACTCAAGTAGTTTAGTGCCTGAGAGAATCCATTTCTGGAGAGCATTTAGGATAAAAAAAAATACCTCTGAAAAGGTGATAAATACAAAATAGCATAGTATATAGGAAAGGTTATTTACTGTTGCAAAAAAAAAAAAGCCATAAAGAACTAGTAATTTTCAAGAGGTAGAATTTTAGTAGCAATAACAGTTTTGCATGTGTAGTAAACTGCATTAGCAAGGTTGTTAAGTAGAAAAAGTTACTGCTGGAATTTGGGCTCTGCAACCAACAGAGTTGTAGGAAGCTATCTTTTAGGTAAAGAACAATGGAAGGTACTTTTAGAACAGTATGAATGTATATAAATATATCATTGTGTGCGAAATAACCAGCTTTTATGTATGTTTAAAGACCCCATTTGCTTTCTAAAGCATAAGTCAGAGCCTTGAAATGAAACCTTTGTTTTTTACTAGAAACAAATATCCTCCCACTGCCCTCAGAAAAGCACCATGTGAATTTTTTGCTTAAGATGTTCCTTTTTTTTTTTTTTTTTGGTAGGGGGCGGGCCCTCGCCAGAAAGACAGAGACAGAGAGATAGAAATCGAGAAATCACCCCCCAGGGGGGATGGCCATGCTGCAATCCCTTCACCATTCTCCTCTCGGGATCTTGGGCACACATGCACACGTGCCCGGAGTGAGTTTAAGCCACTGGGTCTGAGACTCGAACTGCGGGCGACTACATGGGAGTTCAGCAACGTAGCCATTATGCTAACTGCTGGTCCCAAGATGTTCCTTTTAACAATGAGCATTTACTTTGTTAAAATGGCATATTTTTCTGCTTTGTCACATGCTTCTTTGTTGGTTTCCTGGGTATATTTTTTAAATAGAAGAGAGAGGTTTGGAGTGGGGGAGTGTATGTAGGGTTAAAAAAAACCTAAGAACTTGGATAGCTAACTTTTATTCATGCTTGTGGATAGAGCAGTTGGGATTTAAGGTGAAAAGCAAAAGGGTTGAAGGGAATCGTCAAAACAGTTAGTTTTAATGCTTTTTCTAAAAAAAAAAAAAAAAACTTGTCTAATATAGATGTGGCCTATGGCTTATGACTGCTTATTTAACAAGAAGAACCCAGTAAACTAGTTTCTTGAGCTGAGTAGTCGCACAGCTCAGAGCAGGATATAATAATGGAACTAGGGTGACTTCTTACTCCCTTTAACCTCATGTTCATCTTGGCCATTGAGCACCTTCAATATCCCTAAAAAGGTTGGGTCTACAGTCCCTTGTTTTCCCAAGGAAAACTAAAAGATAAGTGGTGTAGATCTAAGAAAACAGTGCCTCTTGGAAATTTATTATATGTCAATCCTAACAGGTAGGGAAAAGGCTATATTAAGTTGATTATAGCTCCTCTTTAGATGTCCTATGCCATCGGTTGGTGTTAAGAGACATTAGAACCAAGCAATATTCAGACATCTGCACTATCATGGGGACTGCGGTACATATTACAGGGATGTCAACAGTTAGTTACTTGGAACAATTAAAGATTAACAGCTATGTTAGTATATTTCTAAATGCAAAGGTATGCTACAAGTTTTTGTAGTCTCAAAGTATGTGGTGAGTTACTTTCAGTTTTTGGGTCTCATGTTTATGCTATGTACCTGTTATATGCAACATATGAAGACACCCTTTGCCTCCAGGAGTTTACATTCTCATGGTGCACTTGGTGCAAGCAAATTGTTTCTAGTTGATTCCGAACTTTGCGTGGCTATTATTTATACCATATTTGGAAGGATCCCTTCACCAACAGTTGTAAAAGGCACAGGGCTATGCTCAATTTCAGGGCACTGATGCTTGAGTTTACATTGAATTAGCACTGCTCTTCGTCAACTCCTTTTCTCCAGGGAGTTGTGCGGGTCATGCTGCTTAATGTGAATCCGAAAAGGAACAATTCTAAGAGCTTTACCATTCCCCAGCCACCGATGTTCTACAATACAGCTGTCAGTAAATGGTCAAGATAACCTGTTCCTTAACACTGTATTATCTCTCAATTCTCTTTCCAAAGTTTTTACATGATTCTCTACCCAAAAGGACCATGACTTGCATATAAGACTTTTATAACTGCACAGTGGTCATAATTTTCATCTTTTCGTGGTGACTTATACCTCCGCTCTGAAGCAGCATTGTGATAGAGGTGAAGAAATGCATCTGCCTGCATTTCTAAGAAAACACTTTGTCAGCTTAAATTTTTAGTTGAAACTTTGCATGTGTCCTTGCTATTCCCATAATTCCTCTGAATCAAGGGCTTTACTTTGCATGTTTATTAGAACTGGGTCTAGTTGAGAAGAGTGTAAGCAAAAGCAGCAGGCCACTGACTCTGACTTTAGAGTACTAACATTCTATTCTAGTGCATGAGTGAAAACGTCCAGTGTTAATGTGACTACTAGTAATTTTACATATGCATTAATAATGAAGCAATAGAAATTTAAGCCAATAGCTTGAACTTATTATTTGAATTTTTTTTAATGAAAGATTATCTTACTTCCATTGAAAATGAGAAGTATTAGATAAATAGGGGCAACCACAAGACATTCAAACTATCAGGAATAGGGCCTAACAGTGCTCACCCTGTCACTTCTTGCTTGGTTCCATTAGTCCCCAAGCATGTTTGAATACAAAACAAAAGGCATAAACTCAGCATGTTGAATCAATAAATATGCTACTATGGCGCTAATAATCAGATAGGTGCAGAGTTTCAGAAAGGATAGGGAAGTAGGAAACATGAATATGGAGGATGTCACAACTAGGTAGGAGGTTTGTCCAATGAGGTTTGCAGTCTCCTAAAACTGGCATGTTTGGGTATCCGCTGCAGCAGCAGTGGTGCAGCAGTAACACAACACCTGTAACCACATGGGACGGTCCTGAGTTTACATGCCAAGGTCTCTGCATGCCAGGTACATGGGTGCCCTTAGATCCAGGCTGGCTGAGATGGGGGCGGGTCATGGTGTGAAGATGCTATTGAGGGTGTGTATCTCTCTGAAGAAAGAGAAACAGAAACATAAAACCCTAGTGTCTTGGAAATGATAAACATATTTCAGATGTTTCAGGATTTCAAAGAACTAGGTAACTTCTGTGAATGGTACTGGTACTAACCAGTCACAAAGAAACCCTACAGCAAAAGAGACAATAGAAACAGTTCTGAAAATACCAAAACATTCTGATTTCTCTTGTTACTGTAGTACATTCAAAATTTTTTTAAACTCTTTTTTTTTTTTTAAGAGAGATTTTTGCTATAGGGTGCGTGCACACACCTGAGAGACAGAAAGTGAGAAATCATCCCTCAGAGGGATTGCCACACAGCAATCCCTTTTTCATTCTCTAGGGATTTTGGGCACGCATGCACACACACCTGGCGTGAGTTTTAAGCTTCCAGGTCTAGGACTCGAACCTTGGTCAGCTCTGTGGGAGTCCAGTGACGTTACAATTGTGCCATCTGCTAGTCCCTAAAAAACACTTTTGTAGCCAGAGTTTTATCCTTAATCCTTTGGTCAGGCAGCACAATTTATTGTCTAAAGCTTTCGCCAGGTAAACAGGCAAAAGTTTTGCCATTAACAAAAAATCTTGTCATTTATTTTATTTGATTTAAAGCAGATCAATTTATTCTAGTCGCTGAAAATTAGCTTTGCAAAGCTTCTTGATTGAAATAACCTTTTTAAGTGATTATGACAAATAATGTACAGAAAAACTCATGATGTGTGAAACTAGCCTAAATAGGATAGAATTCAGAATTAGACAAAATGGAAGTTTCATGTTCTGGTACTGAAAATGGCATTTTCTTTCCAAACTATTTAACTTACAATTCTTTGCTCTGGGACTTCATTACTAATACCTCTGGTAATGTTTCAATATTTTGTGGAATGGTAACTTTTTAGCAGTTTGGAATTACACTGCTTGTCATTGAGATGTTTATTTTCTACCCAAATAGGAAGTGAGATGTATCCCATGTATCAGTTTCCTCTTTGCCACTTAATTCTAACATGCCTGCCAACTAATGAAGATTTAAAAAGTTTCTCGAAATCGTTCCTATTGTTCCATTTTGGCATATTAAACTGGTAAATATTGGAGAACCAAGCATCACAGGATTTTTCACCAGGGACCCTGATTCCTAAACTTCTTTAATGTCAAAGTTAGTATCTTCTGGTTAGAATTTTCTGAAGATTTTTGCCTCACTTGGTGATTCCCATGCCATCAATTAAAATTTATTTTTTTCCTAGGGAAAAGGAACTCTGGCAGTACATTATCATCAGTCCTTACATAATAGTGAGTCTGGGCAGCTTAAGAACACCCGTCTCTTGCCATTAAAAGGCTTATTAGCACGAGCGTGCCCTTGACATAGTTTGATTTCTGTCCTGAGTGCAGGAGCCCCTCACTGTGTTTACGTGCTGTCCTTGCATATTCTCCAACGCACCGCTGATGTGTTACTGAAAGAATTTTGCTGAATATGTTTGAAGGATTACAAAAGGCAGCTTGCTTTTTAATCTATGCATCTTTGGAATTTTTGAAGAAATTTTATTCTTTGATGTAAAAAGGAACTGTTATAGAGTTGGAAACTCTGCACCGGTATGTATATATATATATTTTTAGCAATAAAGCAGCATGGGCTGAGAATGCACTGAAATTTCACTGTGTTGTTTGTTACTTGAAATGCGTCATTTTCCTCACCAGCTGTTAGTATGGTGGGTAAGGTGTTGGATTCCACATGGTCGACTATAGTTTTGGGTCTGGACTGGTGGCCTGAGAAACATACTAAGCACATGTGTATACATGAGGGAGAGGTGGAGAAAGGACTGGTGTGGCCATGCCCTATCAGGGCTGGTTCTTCACGATCTGTAAGTGCACATACCCCCTGGTAAATAAAACAGAAAGTGCAATTTCCTGTAACGCAGTAAGTTATGATGGGAGGAGGCACTCATATCTCTGATGAAGCAGGCTCTGGCCTTAAGGACCTGGTTTCTTGGTATCCCTGTGGCATTTTCTGGTATCCATTACTGAATGAACAGACAGACATGTTAAGAGGCATTATATTTTTATTTTCCTCCTTTTCCCATTTTGCCTTTAGGGCTCATCTTACTCTAGGTCTATGAACAAATGAGTAGAGCTGGGTAAGGAGAGAGTGACCTAAGTACAGTAGTGATGCAACTATTGCCAGTTCTTCCCATCTGAAACAGTAAGATGCTTTCATATGCACTATGTAAGTGTTGGCTTAGTTATCTAAAGAGGTTTGAATACTACAGGATCTCACATGGCCAACTGCAGGGTTAAGGATGTTGAAGGGCCGGCAGGTGGCGTGGTGGTTAAGGCACTGGA